GGAGAGGACTTTAGCTGCTAGGCCATGCTGCCGGGCCCCATGCTGATTTATTTATTTATTTTTTAAAGTCAGAAATACAGGAAAAGAGGGAGAGACAGAGCGCAAGTAAATGAGAAAGAGACCTCTGTCCACTGATTCCCTCTCCAGATGGCTGCAGCAGCTGGACCTGGGGTGATCTGAAGCCAGGGCCCGAGAGTTTCTTCCAAGTCTCCCACATGGATACAGGGGCCTAAGGTCCTGAGCTAGCCTCTGCTGCTTTCCCAGGCCATTGTCAGGAAGGTAGAGTGGAAGTGGAGAAGCAGGGATTAGAACTGACATCCATATGAGATGCCAGCATTGCATGTACAGGATTAATGTCCTGCACTACTTCGTTAGTCCCCACTTTTTTTTTTTTTTCAAATCGGGCTTCTGTATCACTATTGTGAAAATCAAATGGTCTGTCTCTAAACTCCATTTTTTAAATGATTGTTTTGGGTAGTCTGTATCCATTTAAAAATGTTCGAGTTCTAACAAAAGTTTCCAGTACAGTTTTAGTGGGGCTTGAAATGATCTATAAATCATTTTATGGAGAACAGACAACAATATTACATATTTTCCTTCTTCATTTACATGTTATATTATGCCTTTAAGTCTTTAGTTTCTCTTCTCAGTGTCTTGAAATCACATGTTCATATGAACCCTGTTAGGGGCTTTTGGTTCCTAGAATTCCCTAGAACCTCCTTTAGCTTAGGTTCTCGGTGGTCTCCTTGTGTCTGTGCCCCGTGTCATTGCCCTGTGTTTCTTTTTCTCCATCTCAGCTGCCTTTGGCATCACTGCTCACTTTTCCTTGAAGTACTTTGTTCATCTGGCTTCTGTGGTGTTCCTTCTAGTTGACTGCAAGATCTCTAGCTCTTTTTTAAAAAAAAATAAAAACGGATCCTCCTGTTCTTCCTGATAGTTAAAGGTTGGGAAGCCTCAAGCCTCAGTCTGCATTCATCGTTTCCTAATCCAGTCCCTTCTCATGGTGGAAACACTATTTAAACAAACCATCAGGCTTCAGGTCATCTGACTCACAGTTGTATAGCTCCGTTTTGAATCCCTGGCTTATGAATCCGATGTTGACATGTGGACGTCCATTTTGTTATGAGCCTTCATTTGGGTCCCTAAAACTCTTTTGGAACATCTCTTCCGAATGACAGTCTGTGTGTGCACCCCAAGCCTCCTGCTTGTCACTCCTGCCACCTGCCACATTGCCCAGCCTGGGAACTGTACTTCTCTCCCTCATGCACATGTGCCAGTCTTTGAGTCTTCCCTGATGGCTCTCATTCTTTTTTTTTTCCATTTTTAAAAATTTTGTTTTTGACAATCTTTACAAAGTTAATTAGGGCACAAAAGTTCAAGGGCTACAGGAAAGTGGGTAAGACTATCATGTCCACACATTATTTTTTCCTGTATCAGAGGTAAAGAGGGAGGTAAAGGGAGAAGCCCCACCCAGTCTTCCACTCATCCCCTGTCCCTGATGTGTGGCTTGCTCCAAGGGTCTTGCTCAAGTGGTTTTGATAATTCAACAGTTCTGAATTGCTGCCAGTCTCGCTATTTCAAGCACGAAGAAATCACTGCAGAATCCACTGGCTGACATAGTCCATCTTAGAATTTCCGTTTGCCCTGTTTTTCATTGCCAACATATGGCTGGGGTAGTTGCTTGATTTGTTCTGTCCTCTGTCTGTTCATGGTTAGGGATCTGAGTCTGGCAGTTCGATTGGTGGGATCCTTAAAGAAACTGTCTGAGGTGTTCCCAGACCAGGTTTTTGTGTGTACTTGCAAGTATGGGGCCCAGTACAATCCTTCGCCCCAGTCAGCTGGTGGTTGCAATTGCTGGGTCGGTTCTGTTTCCAGCCCTGTCTTCCACTGGAACCAATGGGTGTTGCAGTCCGGCCTGATTCTGCTCAGCATACACTCGGCCCTCACACAAACCAGTGGGAGCTGCAGCCTAGTTGGAGCGACCCACAATAACCCCCACCACGCCCACCCCCTATCCTGCCTCCTGTGCTTGCCAGTATGTGCAGCAGACTAGTACAGTAGAACAGCTCTCATCCTTTCACACCTTGCACTGCAACCTGTGGTAGGAAGCCTTCCCTGCTCTGTCTTCACAGTGTTATTTCAGATGCAATTGCTTCTCTGCATCGTTTCACCTGGCCTACGGCAGTATTCTACTAGATAGTCTGCCCTCTCTGGATCTATCTCCTTTACCTACACAACTTGAGTGGCGTTGAACATGTCACAGTGTTTCACTCCCCTTATTAAAATCTTCCAGGGCCTGCCATTATGTTTAGGGAAAACAAACCGACTATGTAATGGTTTACAAAGAACTCTGTGATCTGACTGCCCTGTTTCCTCTCTGACTTCATCCTCTTCTGTTGCCCTTGCTTCCACAGCACTCTGACGACACTGGCCTTTCTGTTGTTCTTGAACTCCCCAAGTTTGTTTTGGCTCAAGGCTCTGGCAGTGTCTGCTTCTTCTCCCCGGATCCTCTCCACCACCCACCCATACATAAAAAGGCTGGTTATTGGACTGTAAGTCTCAGCTTAGTGTCTTCTTTCCAAGGGGTGCCTTCCTCCTACCTCGTCACTCTTGAGTCCTTCACTGTTTGAAGTCTTTGCAGTCTCTGTTCTGTAATAGATGGGGGCTTGCTGTGGGAGGGGCCATTGATGCTAACAATGCTGTCTCATGATAGATGTGCAGTAAATGCTTGTGGGGAAAATAACCTTGGGCAAATTAGTCTTGCTGGCTCAATTTTCTTCATCTGAGAAGAAGAAGAAATGCTGATGTAAATGTCAAAGAAAATGTCGGAGGTAGTAAGATTTGGCCATGGTGTGAATTACTAATTATTACTTAACAACATAACTGTTTTAACATTCTTAGATGTATACTATGTAAAGTGGAACTAGTTTCTTAAGTGTTTTTCATATTGGTTGATTTAGTGATTCATATTTATTGTTGGGAGAAATAAATACCAAGACAGTCCCTTACTTATGCTTGACTTGGAGTTTTATGATGGTCTAAAAATGTGTCTGTGGGTTTGGTATTGAGGCACAGTGGACTAAGCCGCAGCTTGTGATGCTGGCTGCCATGTTGGGGTGCTGTCTCATATCCTTATTTCTTTACTTGTGATTAAGCTCTCCTAGGAAAGCAGTGGCAGAGGATCCAAGTGTCTGGGCTGCTGCTCGCAGGTGGAAAACCTGGCTGGAGTCTGGGCTCCTGGCCCCAGAGCCTGAACCAAACCCAGCCTTTGTGGCCATCTGCAGCAATGCACCTGTGGGTAGAAACACGCTCTTTCTCCTGGTCTCTGTCTTGTCCTCTCTTTTGCTACCACTTTGCCATCAAAGTAAATAAGTAGTCTTTTTCAAAATAGAAAATAAGAATGAAACCATGCCATGCCCCTGTAAAAATTTCTGTTTTTCACTTTGGTTTCAATATTCCATGAATTTCAAAAGATGTAGGCATTTTACTCTAAAAAATATTTTGTATTAGACAGATTTGACCAATTGTCGGAGTATGTAAGTCTCAAAGAGCATGTTTAATATGGACTAGCTGGGTGATGGAGATGGCAAGATAGATGTATTCAATGCATTAGACTTAGGATAGCTTTTTTAAAAAAATATATTTTTATTTTGAATTTTGAATTATGTGGTACAATTTCATATAGGCTGGGACCCCCACAAACTTCCACCCCTGACAGATTTTTCCCCTTTTAATACAATAGTGTAGTCCTTCATAAGGAATCATAATTCTGTCAGTCTCTTATTTAAGTGCACCCCAACATTGTTGGTACAGACAATGTCAAACATTCCAGCATCCCATTGTCTACACATGTCCAACAGTTTCACTGGGAATCCATCTTTCTTCTGGAAGCTGGGATACATGGTTCATTAATTCCCCATATCTGTGTATGGTAGACCCCAGTACTCCATCACCATACATTTCCATAATTGAGAAGCCATGAAACAAGGTCAACAACTGGTATGAGTTAGAACAGCCACAACAACAACAACAACAAATTACAGCACCATGAAAAAACATGCCACTGAGTAACCAGTACATGGGTGACAAAAAGGAAACACGAAAGTCTCTTGGGAAAAATGATGCCACTGTGTAATCCATGAGCCAGTGATGAATTCAACAAGAGAGAAGGAATTATTTGGAATAAACAAAACTAAAATAAAAAACATCAAAACACATGGGATACAGACAAAAAAGCAAACAAACAAAAAACAGTATGGACTAGATTATTGAAGTTATACTTTATCCATGCTGGTTTCCTTATATAAGAGAAAACAACATATGATATTTGTTCTTTTGTGATTGACTCAGTTCACTGAGCATGATGCTCTGTAGTTGGGACCATCTGGTTATAAATAGAATAATTTCATTCTTCTTAATAGCTGCATAATATTCCATGGAGTAGATGTATCACAGTTTTTTTAACCGCTCTTCTTTGGACGCACATCTGGATTGTTTCCATGTCCAAAAGCAAAGACAATCAAATCCAAAATGAACAAATGGGACTACATCAAACTAAAATACTTCAGTACAGCAAAGGAAATAATTAACAAAGTGAAGAAGCAACCAACAGAATGGGGGAAAATTTTTGCACATTATACAAGTGATAAGGGACTAATATCCAGGATTTACAAGGAGCTTCAGAAACCCAGGGACAGGGAAAAAAAAACCCTGTAACAAAATGGGCAAAGGAAATGAAGACGCATTTTTCAAAAGAACAGTTTCAAATGGTTAGCAGGCATATTAAAAAGTTGCTCAGGCTCCCTAGCTATCAGAGAGATACAAATGAAAACCATGTTGAGGTACCACCTAGCACCAGTGAGAGAGGCTTGTATTCAGAACTCTATTAACAACACCTGCTGGCGTGGATGTGGGAAGAAAGGCACCCTCTTTCACTGCTGGGAGTGTAGGCTAGTACACTGTGGAAATCAGTATGGAGAGTGCTTGGAGAATTGCAAATAAACCTGCCATGTGACCCACCTATCCCGCTCCTAGGAATAAACCCAATAGAATTGAAAAGGGCATATGAAAAGGGAATCTATAATGTTATATTTGCAGCAGCACAATCCACAATAGCAAAGACATGGAGTTAGGATAGCTTTTATAGGATGTAGCTGTATGGTAAATTGAGGAGCATCTGACATGTGATCAATTAATTGCCATAGCATTTCAAGTAGCCTGTCTAGACAGGTTGGTAGAACAAATATCACAAGGTATAGTTAATTCTCTAATGGATTTGCTGCTGGCAATCGCTATATCACTCAACATGAGTGATCTTTTCAAACCTGAGTGGCCAGAAGACCTTTAAGGGACATGGGTCTGTGCTGCCCCTTGAAACACAGGGGAGGATGAAAAGGTGGGGTACACCTGTTTGGTGTAAGCAGTGATCTTGTGAGGGAACAATGTGAGGAAGATAGGATGTGAATGCCAGCTAGTGGCAAAAAGCAAAAGGCACTGCTAGGCAACTAGACACCTTTTGTGGTTAAATTAGCCGGGCAAGGAAGGAGCTGTTTCTGGCTGATCAGCAAATACGGTAAATTACTGGGGGGAAGGCTGCTGCCACATCTTGCCCCTGTCCCTTGATAATGCAGGTGATCTGGCACTAACCTGTACTTTGTGTTTTATGTACAGTGGAGAGGCGGGAAAGAACAGGAGGGCCTGGTAACCAAGCTGGAGCTTACATCATTCCCACAAGGACACTCTTGTTTGTCAGTACTTAAAGGTAAATGATCATTTTCGCTATGATATTTTGTTAAATCAAGAAGGAAAAGAGTATGAGAAGCTAGAAATTAAGTATCAATGAATCTAAGAATTACATGTGACATGCACATAGGGGATGCTTGGATTGTTTTATTTATTTATTTATTTATTTATTTTGGAGCGCATATTGTGTCAAACTAGCCATGCAAACTTAAATTCTCATTGTTTTGTAAAATGAAAAGGTAATATTTTATGAGACATGACCCAAAGATGGGGATACTTCAAAGGCTCATGGAAAATGAAATTCAAATAGATTTTAAGATTTTGCTGCCCCCAAATGCTCCAGAGGGTCTACAGAAAGGTCCTGGAACATGTATATTCTGGAGTCAGGCATGGTGACACACTCTCAGAAGCCACAGTCTGGGATGACCCGGCTGCATTTCAGAGAGCCTGTGGTCCGGTCCCTCCCCTGCTGTGGAGTTCAGCTTTCTGTTAGTGTGCGCCCTGGGAGACATGAGATGGTAATGTGGGGTTCCTGCCACCCATGTGGGAGATGAGGACAGAGTTCTGGGATCCGGGCTCTGAGCTATCCTAGCCCTGCCAGTGGCAGGCTTTTGGTGAATAAATCAGCTGAAAGAACATCTCTGTTACTATAACTTACCCTCTCTGCCTTTGAAATAAATACATGCACTTAAAGAAGTAAGTACGTATTACCAAAAAAAAAAAAAGACTGTACATGAATTTTAGCATTTTTGCAATAAAATAAATTTCTTTGCATTCTATTTTACACCAACTTTTTGAAGTACCCTTGTAGTTTGTAAATTGATCAGATTATTAAAAAGTTATCTATGTCAACTCTGAGATAAAATATTTAGTTTTGTATAAAAGGTAATCTAAAAGGGTGCCTCTGCATGGATCTTAAATTTTTGGTTGCTTCCAAGTTATAAAATACTGATATATTTTGAAGGGTTTTGAAGGCAAATTGCGAGCCAATTATGGTAATTATGAAAATGACCATGGAAACGCCAGAGAAGCCACACACAATGACACATGGATAGAACGCGGGACAGATGTTGCAGAAGAAGGAGTGGCTGAGGAGACAATGAGCTCTGTTGTATTACCACAGCCTGTTCACATACGTCATAGATTAAATGATGAATGCGCGATGGAGGACACGGGGAGGACAGAACAGAGCCCATTGTGTCAGCTTAGCCGCCTCATTTCCAATTAATTGCTTAAGTAAAGGCTTCTGTTTTGAACACAGCCAACAGAAAATGCTACCGTTGTAATACTGTAATTTTTACAGCTCACCCTGGAGCACCCGTTAGAACTTAATACAAGAGCCTGGAGCAAAGAACCCAATTAGATGGTTAGCTTTGCCTGCACGCGAAGCTTAAAGGGAAGTGTGGGTCTGTCATTTGGTTATGCATCTGCTATGCCTTTGATTCCTGGACAGGTTCTAGGTGATATGGAAGGGACAGGCTGGCCCCTCATCTCTGTGCTCATGGCTGTGGCTCTGTGGAAATGAATGCCACATTCTGTGCTGGGATGATGCAGTGATGGGGCCCAGGGGGCCACGGCTTCAGGGATGGTGTCTTCTGTGGCAGGTTTGGGTGGGTTGCTGCCATGAGCTCACAAGCTAGTGCTCCATAATTGAAAGGGTTCCTTTCTTTAGGATGTAGGGGTCAAGTAATGCAAATTGCACAAATCAAAAGTCCTGGGTTTGAATTCTGAGCTTGAACGCTGACTATATTTCACCCCAGGGGCCTCCTTTGCCAGTGCCTTTTCAGGGGATTTTCTATAATTCTTGAGTAAGATGTTTTTACGTTATTGGTTAGCTATGGGGACTTTGAAGTTTTAACAAAACTGTTTAGTTCCTTTATTATGGTTTTTTTTTTAAAAGCTTGTGTTTTATTATTTTATTATTTTATTTTATTTTCATTACAAAATCAGATATACAGAGAGCAGGAGAGACAGAGAGGAAGATCTTCCATCTGATGATTCACTCCCCAAAGTGAACGCAATGACCGGCATTGTGCTGTTCCAAAGCCAGGAGCCAGAAACTTCTTCCAGGTCTCCCACGTGCAAGCAGGGTCCCAAGGCTTTGGGCTGTTCTCCACTGCCTTCCCAAGCCACAAGCAGGGAGCTAGATGGGAAGTGGAGCTGCCAGAATTAGAACCATCACTCATATGGGATCCCAGCGCGTTCAAGGCCACGAGGTCACTGCGCTGGGCCCGATCCCTATGAAAAGTAGTGTCTATTGCATAAAATTAAAGTGTTGTTGTTGTTCAGTGGGTTAAGCTGCTTCCTACCATGGCAAGATTCCATGTGAGTGCCAGTTTGAGTCCCAGCTAGTCCAGCTTCCTGTTACAGTACCTTGGAAAGCAGCAAAGATGATGCAAGTACTTAGGCCACTCATATCCACATGGGAGACCTGCATAGAATTCTCCTGGCTTCTGCCTGGTCTGACTCTGGCTCTTGCAGCCATTTGGGAAGTGAACCAGTAGGTATAAGATTTCTCTCTATATATCTTATTTTCTTACTCTCCTGCTTTCCCTCTCTCTCTATAACTCAGCCTTTCAGTTAAATAAACAAATCTTTCAGAAAGAGCGTAGGAATGCAAAGGAAGCCAGTTACACTGACAGACAGTGACCAGTGTGCCTGGAAGTAAGTGTGCAACACACCCGCTGTGCTAATGTGTTACGTACCAAGGCCTAATGGCAGGGATGACAGCTACTGTGAGTTTTGAAGCACTAATGAGTATAAGTGAAAATTTGATATATTTTCAGTAATTGCGATGTAATATGAAAATATTTTTGATTTATATCATTGACAAATCACAAGAATGGCTAATTTTGCAACAAATTTTTGCCTATACTTATAATCAAAGGAAAGACCAAATTTCAGCTAAATATTAGTAAAAGTTAAATTTCACTTAGGTCCTGCATTCTGTCAGAAGCCCTTGCCTGAGCGCCCCGCCCTTTCTCCCAAAGCAGGGACACTGCTTCCTGCAACCATCTTTATCTTTTTTTTTTTTTTGAGTCTGATGCTTGTTGATTTTAGCAAAGTCAATTTATATGACACAAAAGGAAATAATTTTTTAAAAATATTTTCTGCTCACTAAAGGTGAGGAGATCACGAGTGCGTGTGGTGCATGTTCAGGGGTGGAGTGGGCTGGGAGGGGAAAGATGGGAGAGAGGGAATGTTTCATTCTGTATCCAGAGAAAGGGAGAAACTGCTGCTTCATGGTGCCACTCTTGAGATAGTCCTGGGAAGGGGTGTGGTTCCATGACGCTGCCATCATACTTTCCCTGGTGAGGGGAAGTATGTCCTAGAGTAAAGGTAATTTGATTGGTAAATAAGCAGGTAGGATTTACAAAGAGCAGGGGGGGAGTGTGCCTTCCTACTAGTGACCCTAAGTTAGCTACCCACCTGTCTCATTTCATTCTCATCTCATTTCATTCTCCCCTTGGAGATTTCTGACCCCTAATCTAAGTGTTGCTGAAAGGTAACTGATCCGTACATCTTCTGTAGTTACTTCCTGCTGGTTAGGGTTGTAGGGCTTGTCCATTTTGAATTTAGAATGGTTTTTTGAGCCGGAGAACTTATATTCAGGGCCAATGGCTATGTTTCCTACATCTTTGTTATTACCCTGAAATGTTGTTGGCTTCTTTGCACAGGAATCAACAATGCAGGTTGTATAATCATGCAACATGTGTGCCAAGGGCCAAGGTCAGACCTCACACCCACAAGTCTAAGGACCTGAGATCAGAGATCCTGATCTGTCTGAGGCCAACGTAAGAGGAAACGATGGGCCGCTTGCTGACCCAAAAAGCCATTGGTACGCATCTCCCCAACAGGAGGTACAGGGAGGCCCTTTTGGTCCACCTACCTGCCACGCCCCAACTTTGTCTCTCACACCTAGCCCTGTTTCTCGCATTCAGCAGTGGGTACAGTAGCCTGGCGCGGGCATGCCATGGTGCTGGCCCTCTAGGGCCTCCTGCCTGGCCAACCCCCGGCCCCAACTGTTGTGTTCGCCAGCAAGTTCAGGTGTCTGGCTAGAAAAGGCTTGCAGCACAGCACAGATTCTCCAGGTCCCCGTTACCTGTCCTGCCCCCAACCCTGGCTCTCGCATGCATCAGCAGGTGCAGCAGCCTGGCCCAGGAAGGCTAGCAGCTGCAGTTCTGCCCACATCAGTGACCCCCACGCCAGCCCAAGGACCTTAATAAGTGGGTGGTGGTGGTTCACTTGCATGCTCTACCCCGCTTCCTTACAGATGTAACATTAAGGAATGGGCAACTCTGCTGGCATTCTGGTGTAATTAACACAAAGTTGGCATGAGCCAGATTCAGAATATCAGCCAACTACTGACTGCTTTTCTTCTAGCAACGTAACACGTGACTGGGTGTGAGGTAATCTAGGCAGCTGCCTGCATGTGAGAAAGAAAATGATTTTTTGGACAGAAAGCCGGACATCCTGGCATATAGACCTTTGACTCAAGGAGGACCATCGCACTGATAGTCCATATGCCTCAACTAGGGATCTATCCAAATTTTTTTTACTTTGGAGATTTATGTTGACTTCTCAGGCATATTTCCTGATGCAATCTTGGCAAAGGAGAGACTAATATGATTTTTCAGAAGGCCTACAAACCAGAGCTACATAAAGGAGATGGGTTTGAATGACATTTCCTTTTATGTTTGCTTGCATAAGCCTTTTCCAGAGGCCCATGCCAGTGTTCCAGCCTTCCCTTGACTTTGCCAGCAGGTGGGGTACTGGTGCCTTTTAAAGTCTGAAATGGATTTTCTTTTCTCGCTGAGGGGATTCTCTGGCTCGCTGCAAGCCCAAGCAACACTGTTCGAGATCTTTGAGCTCTGTCTTGGTGGTAGGACAAGTGGGCAGAGTGAGTGATATGTCAGCAGACTCCGGCTTTTTCAGAGTTAATATTTCACAGGTTTTAGCAAACTTTCATTTGGCGGAATAATGAGGACACTTTGCAGACTGCATGGAAAAATAGAGTTA